TATGACCTATAAAAAAGCTATATAGGTCCTCAGACTGGACGATACTCACTCCAAGTCACTTTACCTGCGTGGTGTACAATTAGGAATGGACAAATGGTTTGCCTAGGGAAGTAACCTTTGAATGTTCTGGGTTTATAGTGCTTTGTTTTGAAGTAATTACAATATCTCTGCAGTGCGTTTCAGTGATGAGGCTCAACCCGAACTCCATCTTAATGTAGGGTTTTTGTCCACGCATACAATTAGGAACGGACTTACCATGTATGAATTAAACATGAAACAGTCGGCACTGAGCCTCCTTTGAAACAACCTTTGGCTGGAGCTCAGAAAAGAAATCCGGCTTTTTTTTTTTTTTTTTTTTTAAAGCCCTATCGTGTATTTTTTTCAGATATAGGCAGGACTATCAATCCAGGAGCCATTAGATCTAGAAACTATACACAGTTGTGTGGCCATTGTCCCTGTGTGTGACTTTTGGTAAGTCACTTTTAAACTACCAATAACAACACCCACTCCTCTTACCCTGGGAGGGATGGAGGTCATGCATTCCATTAACATTTGGGATGTTCTCTGATCTTATCACACTGAGCAGCAGAGCGCTGCCTGTTAAAATCTCTCTCTCTCTCTCTCTCTCTCTCTCTCACACACACACACACACACACACACACACACACACAACCCTCTACTGCACACACACACACACACACACACACACAGCCCTCTACTGCTTATTCACAATCATGCTTTTCTTGCCCACTGTATCCGTAGCCCAGTGAGAGCTGGAAAGACAGGAACACTTGCAGGTACGTCTATTGGAGGTAGTTTTCCAGCCCCATTTTGTCAATATAGAAAACTGGTGATACGAGGGGGAGAAATCAGACTCTTGTCTATGCTGTCACGTGACTATGCTGCAACTTTCTTGCTCAAGGTTGTGAAAGATCACCCCCCTCCAAAACACAAGTCACATCACTCTTAAGCAGCCTTATCCACTCATCGGTGGGGAAGCTGATAAGAATGAGGAATGATATGCAGAATGAACCATTTACGAACCAGTCCCTAAGCCCTTTCAGTCCCTAAGCCAGGTGCAATATGGCCACTGTACGTTTAGAGCAACCCCATAGGACTCCTAACTTTATTGCCCACAGGCGAGACTCAAAATGGGAGTTCAAACCAGCATTCCCTCTAATTTTTTCCATCCATGTGTAGAATAAATTTTGTTTAGTGCACCTACACATGTGGAGATGTGCACCACCAGCAGAAACACATGCTGCCAGCTCTGGGTGCTCTTCTAATCAACTGGGTGGTGCCTGACTCTGTCCTGGGTGGCTGCCCCAGTGTTCAGCTTAGAGGGAACATTGGTGCAAGTTTCTCCCCTTCCTTTGCTTTGTCATTCTCTGGCCAACACACCCTGGTGTCCCCATCCTGCTCCCCAAACTTGCCTGTGTTTTCACTGTCAGGGCTGAAGAAAGGAGAGAGCCTTGGAGAGTGACTGGACTTACAAAGTTCTTTGGAAAGTTAGTTCTGTTGTTCTTGGGTTTCGCCTTGGTCGCGAGGAGCGTGTGACATAATAAGGAGGCTGTTTTTCTTGGCAAGATGACCTGGAAGCAATGGAGCCTTAAGGGAGCCCGCCTGAGGAGCAGGGAAGGGAGTGATAAATGGGCATTGCCAGCCATTCCATTTGCCCTGTTCAGTTTCCTTAAGCGAGCGGATTTACACTCATAGCGCAGTTCTCAAGGCCAGCTGACAGCAAGCCGGGAAACGACAAAGTAAACAGATCTTCCGCTGACAGCAACAGATCGCGTCTGAAGGCAGCGCCAGCAGTGTGCGGCATGCCTAAGAAAAGCACCATGGGAAGTTTCCGCCGGGGAAAAGCTGGCTCGGTTTCCTCCGAGGGCACGTCTTTACTGCAAGCAGGAGGCGTGTCGGTGGCGGAGCCGAGCTAGAGGGGAAGAACAGCGCTCGCTCCAAATAGCAGGATGCCGTGGCAGCATGGGCTCCCTGCCCAAATATAGAGCCAGGCTGTCAGGCAGGTGTTTCCTTGAAGTAGCACGTCTCTCCATGGGGGCTGCTGCAGCTTCCCGGCTGCGTAGAGGGGGCTAGCTCCGGACTGCTTACAGGAGCGGCTCCCGGTTGCAGGGCGGACATCCCCTGAATCTGGCCACGCACCCCGTTGTCCAGGCAACAAAGCTGTGGGCTGCAGTTCAGCCTCTGGAGACTGAATGTCGAGTGGATCCTTTGCCTCGCTCTGCTCTTTGGAGAGGCCCCGCGGTCAGGGGAAGGGCACGATCCCTTCCTCCCGTCGCTCTCCAGAGGCAGAGAGAACTTGCCTTTCCTGGGGGAGCTGAGACTGCGGTTCTCTGAGCGATCGAGCCGTAGGAATGATGACTGAGGATGCTGATGGCCAGGGCCAGTGGCCCGGGGACATTTTTCAGAGTGGGGGTGGTGTCCTCACCCCATTACCCCGTCCTGCCCCCGCCAGCTGAGGCCGGGAGCAAAGCCCTGGCATGCAAGGCAGCAGTTGGGTATCCAGGACACGGAACTGGCAGCTGAGCCCCCAAGTGTGGGGCCAAAGCAGACCCCCCTCCCGGGGTGAAGGGCAGAAACCGGGACCCCAAGTGCAGAGCCAACAGCAGAACCCCCAGAGCGCAGGGTGGCAGCTGGGCCCTCAGATATGGGGCCAGCAGCAGACCCCACTGCATGTGGGGAAGCAACCAGGGCCTTGGGCAATAGGCCGGGGAACACACACCCCGCCCCCCCGCCCCGGGCAAGACCTGCATGTTGGAGCAGGAAATGATGAGCAAACAGGCTTCATTGCAAGTTTTTTGGTGTAACTTGCTCCTGTGTGGATCAAAACGGACCACTTCAGTAGGGTGTGAAAATGAGAACGAACAGCAAACAAAGAGGAAAGTGATCTAAAGCACTTCACTCTTAAAAAGAGCTTTTGTTTTGAGTGTCAGAGGGGCAGCCATGTTCATCTGTAATTTGAAAAACAACAAGCAGTCCCGTGGCACCTCAGGCTATTCTACACTGCAGCACCATATCCGGATACCGAAATAGCTATTCCGCGTCTTTTGCGCGTGCCCGTTATTTCAAAATATAAAAGGCTCGCTATTCTGACATCCCTGTAAATCTAATGACATGAGGAGTAAGGGGCATTTCCCAATAGCGACTTATTTCGAAATAAGTGCTGTGTAGACGGTGCCAAATTTTGAAATAAGCTATTTCGAAACGGACTCGAAATAAGATACGTCATTTGAGTAGCTCAAATGGCGGAGCTTATTTTGAGCTATGGGCGCAGTGTAGACGTACCCTTAGGCCGTGTCCAGACTCAGGGTTTTTTTCGGGAAAAGTAGCCTTTTCCCGAAAAAACTTCCCCTGCATCCAGACTCAAGCCACGTTCTTTCGAAATTATTTCGAAAGAACGCGGCTTTTCTTTCGATGGCGGTAAACCTCGTTTCACGAGGAAGAACGCCTTCTTTCGAAAGTTCCCCTTTCGAAAGAAGGCGTTCTTCAATGTAAAGAGGCCGTCTTCGAAAGAGAGCATCCAGACTCGCTGGGTGCTCTCTTTCGAAAAAGCGGATTTCTCTTTCGAAAGATCCGCCTGCAGTCTAGACGCGATCTTTTGAAAGAGGCTCTTTCGAAAGAAGCCTGCAGTCTAGACATAGCCTTAGAGACTAACAAGTATATTAGATAGCTTCCCTGGGTAAAACCCACTTCATCAGATGAAGTTTTAAGTTGTGCATGAAGGTTTCTGATGTTTTATTGCATACCAAGAGATCAAGCGAAGCCTCCTGCAGTCAAAGGAGACATTCCATCGGACTGTAGAGTAGGCTGGAGTGGAAACTGGATAAAGGGTAGGTGGGGATACCAGGACTTAGAATCCACTTAGCCAGATAGCATAGGAATTCTCAGTGGAGCACTCTCTAGCGGCTTTATGGTCTGTTAGTAGTTTCAGAAGTGTGTCCGCTTACTCAGCCACCAGATAAATTACAAGTGTGCCTCATCGGGACAACTGCCAGGGAACCCATTCAGGAATCAGTGTTATTCATTGCAGTGACTTTAAACAAAAGTTTGTCTATTCCTGAAAGGTCTGTTTGAAGTGTGCACCTGGTGCTGGCTGCGGGCCGAGGTACTATAACTAGCAGGTGCAAAGTGGTGTTTGTTAGCAATTTCCCACTGTGTGGTCTTTGCATCTGCTAAGTGCCACATCCCTGTTATTCTGTGATCTGGCTGCTTCATGCGCCCAAATGAGTTTTCAAAACTGTTTTAGTGCTGCGCTAAATGCGAAAGCTATCCCTCTCATTTAAATTTAATTCCTGATCATGAACTGTAAGGTAAAGTGAGTGTCGTAAAGGTATATTAAATGCTTCAGAAAAAGAAAAGTTATTCAAAACAGCAACAACAAAAAAGTCCAGAAAATGGTAAACTGAGGTTAAAGGGCCTGTTTCATTCCTGCAGTAATATTAGTTAACAGAGATATACACGGACT